GTTCTAGGCCTGGCCTTGGCTTGGCTTGTGTGACCTTGGCCTACTCGCTGCCTTTCCCCCCCGCCCCGGCCTCAGTTTCCTCTTCTGTGGAATGGGGACGGTAATCCCCGCCCTTACCACCTCCTCAGGTCACCCCAGACACTACATGTTTATCGAGGCCAGCCCAGTGCGAGGTTCCTCGGGGCAAAAGAGGAAGTGAGCATAGCCCCTGAGCAATGGGGCTGGAAGGTGGGGACGGCTGGGAGGCGTTGGCAGGGGTGGCCCCGGGGCTGGGGTGCTGGGGGCTCGCAGGCTAGCGCAGCAGGGCGTTTCCCAGAGGGCGTGACCTGAGGCAAATGTGTGCGGTTTAGGGATCGCCAGTGTCATGGATGAGAGCCCTCCAGAGTCCTCCAGAGCTAGGCTGGCCTGAACTTGAGACCATCTAGCGGTGTGATATTCAAGCCAGTTACTTAGCCTCTCTGCGCCTCGGTTTCTTCATCTGTAAAATAGGCTCTGTCTCCTCAGGTAGTTGGGAGGCTTACTTGATGTAGGTGAAGTACGGAGCCCAGGGTCTGTAGATGGGGAAACAGAAGAGAGACCTGTTGCAAGCCACACAGGGTGGGATGGGGGCACCTAGCAGAAAACCTCAAGGTCTCAAGCCTTCGTCTCCCCGTCCCCACCCCCAGGGCCAGTGTCAGTGGCGGCAGCCCCCCGGGAAGGAGATCTATCGCAAGAGCAACATCTCTGTGTATGAGGTCGACGGCAAAGACCACAAGGTGAGTTAGGGGGCCGAAGTGCTGTGGGGAGGTGGGGGGAAGCACCTCTTGGATGATCCTCATTGTCGCCGAAGGGTAGAGGCCAGCCTGAGGACAAGCCCCCACCGGGGAGAGACCTGTGAGGTCATGCTTAGCCTGGCGCTTGGCCTGTGGTTGGTGCCCGGTAAACACCCGGCTCTGGGGCACCAGCCTGGGGGACAGGGTTTCTGTTCTGTCCCTGAAGACTTTCCTCCTGATGGGGTGGCTTAGGTTGGGGCAGTCCTGGCCCAGAGTAGAGATTGTCATGCCTGAGGCTGCTTCTAGAAGCGCTTTCTCTTTCTGCCTGAAGGAAAGGTTTCTTCCCTGGGAGGGGACGACTTTGTGTGACTTGCTGCCAGAGAGCTGGGTAGCTCTGGCCGCAGAGTTCCTTGTTTCTGGCAGGAGGACCTCGGTGGGGCAGGGTGGGGCATTTGGGGCCTTGCTTTGCTGCCATTGAGCACCTGGCCTTTGCCTGGTCAGTCTGGGAAGCTCTGACCAAATGTCCCTGTTTCCCAGGGAAGGGGACCGTAGAGGGTAAGGCCTAGAGGGCAGGCTTCTGAGGTGGCTCTTGCTTCAAACAGTGCTGTCATTGACTAGCTGACTGTGGACAAGTGACTTAACGCTGTTTGTTCCTCTTTCCTCATCTGTGAGATAGGAGTCATGGTTATGTTTACCTAATAGGATTGTTGGTGGAACAAATGAGCAACGTCAAGTACTTAAGGCATCAAGTAGGTGTTCAGTAAACATAGGCCTTTGTTATTTTTGGTGACCTCCTTGAGTTCAGCCAGCCTTGAGGTAAATAGCTCAAGGGGAATATTGGCTCTTAGCCTGGCCTGGGTCCCCCTGCTTTGCCTTTCTGAGCATGAACAGGGGGAGTGGCAGAAAGGGCTCTAGCAGGAGACATGGGTGTTCTCTCTAACTCTACCCTGTTAACTTTGAAGCCTCGGCCAGGGACTGCCTCTCCCCGGAACCTCAGTTTCCTCCTAGGGAAAATGGGCTAGCAATGCTGGACTTCACAATTGTTGGGTCAAATAAGAGTGGATGTAAAAGGTGTCATAAACCAGAGGGTCTCCTGATCTGTGCCATGAAGCCAACATCAAGGTCTCATTATCCGTCCTGATATTGGTCTCTGGCCTGGGGAGGTGTTTGGGCCTACAGCAAGGAGGCTGCTGAGGCCCAGCAGCAGAGTATGGCCAAGTGGGCAGACCACTCAGGCTTTGGAATCAGGCTCAAAGCTCCTGCATTCAGCAAACATTTACCAAGCACCAAGCTTCATGCTTAGCCTCGTGCTGGGTGTTGGGGATACAGTTATGAATAAGACAGAACTCATATACCAGTTTGAATCCTGCCCTAGCACTCACCAGCCATGGAACCTTACACCAGCCCCTTAGCTCCTCTGAGCCTCACTTTCCTGATCTGAAACCTAAAAGTTAATGTCCCTGAAGATTGAACTCCTATTTAGCACTCAGAAGTGGTAACTGTTTGGGACGCCTGGCTGGCTCAGTCGGTGGAGCGTGCGACCCCTGCTCTTGGGGTTGTGAGTTCCAGCCCCATGTTGGGTGTAGAGATTACTTAAAAATAAAATCTTAAAAAAAAAAAAAAAAAAAAAAGAGCTTTTCCTGCCCATGACTCCTGTTCCCATGCTATAACTAAACAGACACCTTTGGGGCACCTGGGTGGCTCAGTCGGTTGAGTGTCTGACTCTTGATTTTGGCTCAGGTCATGATCTC